CATACGAAGAACACCCAGATCTACAACCATGGTGGAAGTGCAAGAAGAATCTAAAAGAGGGAAAATGGAAGCCTGCCGAAAGTAAAAAGAACGAAACTAACCTCGGAGGACTGCAAGATCGCTGGGAGAATGACTCTCGAAGGATTTCACCAGAAAAGGCTTAGCACAGTTCTAGAAAGAGGGAGATTTGGCTGATGATGGAGACGGTAAAGGGAAGTGAAGTGGAATTCTAGAGCATTATATAGGCAAGGGGGCCCGAGGGCCGAAGCGTCGGGAAGGCAAGAAATCCCTCGAACCCCGGAACATTGATTCTGGATCTGACCGTTCGCTCCCCCACGTGGTTATCTCGAGCCGTCAGCGTCATGATGAGACGCCATCAATAATTACCCCTTATTAAATAAGGGGCAATTATGGGGGCAGTTGAGGAGGCCCTGGATGACATGGGCCAGGTCCGACTCGCAAAACACAACCTTCAGTCCGAACAGCTGGGTCAGCCCATAGAAAGACACTACCATATGGGCCGAGCGGGAGTAAGCCCATCAAGAGCGACCAGGGCTTACTGAGGAATAGGCCCAGGTCCAGCAATTAGTAAATATCTTGTAAATATCTTGTAAATATCTGGTAAGTATCTATAAATAGGAGTTGGAATGAAGAGGGGGGGGATCTTGATTCGGGTTGAGGTGTAAGAATTCTAGAGAGAGAAAGAATAGAAGGAGTTTCTTGCATCTTCAATAAATAACTTTCTAAATTAACATTTTTAAATAACCATTCAATTTTTCAAACTTGTAATACTTTTTATCAAACATGTTTTCACGTTTTTGCTTCTAAAAATCTTGAAACAAATTTACGTTACCAAATAAGTTTCGAAATATTTTTGAACACACTCTAAAGCAGAAACATTGCTTCTGCTTTGAGCCAATGCAAAAACACAAAGTAACTATGGTTGCTAAAGTGATCAAAGTTTTTGAGAAATCAATCATAAAAAAAAAATGTACATTAAAATTAGGGGTGGCAAATTACGACACGATACGAATATGACAAGAGTTAAAAGGGTTTGGGTTTGGCATAAACGAGTTTGGGTCATAAAAGAGTTGACACAATTAACTTGTTTACTAAACCGTGTTGGGTTAGGGTTGAGGGGTTTAACCCGTATAACCCGTTTATGACTCGTTTAACTTAATATGTTATAATCGTGAATATGACTTATGTAACATGTTATCTGTTTAAACTTAATTACTATGGATAGTTAAGTCATTTCAACATAAACCTTGTCTATGCCTTATGATTTTTCTTTTTATTTTGAATATTTGGGTTAATTATGACAAAATTTTCTATTTTTTAGTATTTGATTAAATATTAAATGTCTCGTTTTGATTAATAGGTAATATACCGGTTGGATTAGTGTTGAACATTCTTGACACGATTATTAAATGGGTTGAGTTTAGATTTACCTATTTAGTATAATACCCTTATATCGACACGATACGAACACGACCCACGAACACGAATTGCCACCCCTAATTAAAATAGTACTCTGTAGGTTATAATTTTTGGGTGAAGACAAAACAGTGTACATGTGGTTATGTATGTAACTAGTAAGTTCATTTTAATTAGGGTTGAGCGTAAAAAATATCCCTAAAAACATTGCAAATCACACTCTTTAAGTGCAAAAAACATCCTTAGAGTTTCAATTTGGTACAAATAGGTCACTCTGACAAATTTAAACGCTAAGTTGACTAAATTATCCTTACTGGACCATTTTATAAAATATATAAAAATAAATAATTTTGTAAAATGACCGAAAAAGACACTATTAGAGGATGTCCCTCACGTACAAAAAATACCCCTAAAGTTTGAATCATGTGCAAATAGGTCCTTTGACAAATTAAAACCCTAAATTAATTAAATTACCCTTACTGAACCATTTTATAAAATATATAAAAATAAATAATTTTATAAAATGAATGAAAATAAAACAATTGGAAGACGCTGACAACAGTTAAAGATAAAAATATAAAATAAAAATAAAAGTATAAATTAAAAGTAAAATTAAAAATAAAAAATAAAAAACGAAAATAAAGTGCAAACTAAAGAAAACAAATCTGTTCCAAATTTCAAAAACCAGTGCACACTGATATTGGATTGTTTTTTTTTTTTTTCAGAAAATTCAATTCCTTATTTTACAAGTTCTCAAAGTTTTTTTTAAAAAATGTTTATATATATATATTAAAGTAATGTGGATTAATATCATATATACCCCCTTGAACATTTTTGCAAGAGTAAAAAGACAAAATGAGTATTATAATACTTATTTATGTTGGAGGGGTATTTTTGCACAATGTAAAAAAATTAGAGGTATTTTTTATATGTTTTTTCAAATAAGAAGTAAAAATGCTATGTGGAATAAACTTTAGGGTGTTTTCTGCACTTGTCCCTTTTAATTAAGCAACCTAGCTAATATTTATTACACACACACTAGTTGAATCCACGTTTGTCACAAGTAAAATAGAAAGGGTGAAAAATCTATGTTTGTGTTTAATTGGACAAATAATAGGAGTAATTTTCATATTAAATGTAGTATGTGATTTTAACTCATTACGTAGTACTAATTATGATAACCAAATCTCACTAGTTAATTGAAGGATAACTTGTAAACGCCTTTGTAACTCAAATGTTAGGGTTGTTGGAAGCCCCCGATTTAGAGCATTCGCATCCCCTCCCACTATTATTGCCTTGAAAAGAAAAAAATAAAAAATAAAATAATCAACGAACTTGGATCCTCTTAATTTACTGTATTGGTAGGTACTTTGGTATTGGATGTAGCAACAATGGGCTGGGCTGGGCTGGGTAGTGGACCAGTGGTCAGTGAAAACCACTTCTGCTTTTTTTTTTTTTTTTTCTTTCCCTCTTTCTTCTTCTTCTACTGCTACTACTACTTTCGGACGGACAGGTGGCGATGGAGGCCGGCGCTTTGATTCCATTCTCAAGAGAAAATGATTCCTCCCCATCCAAGGCCAAGCTCATTATTCTCTTGCTGCTTGCTATTCATGAATTTCAATCACCATTTCTTTCCTCTCTTCATTCTGATTCATTTTTTAAAAAAAATTAATAATAATTGATTTTCGATTATGGGTATTGTTAAATTCTGTGTAATTTCCTCATGCTTATATTGTCAATCTCGAATAAACAAACCACCAACTTTTCTTCATTAATCTTCGGAGGTTAATTACGTATTCATTTTCCTCCTTTCCTGTCCACAATCAAAGAGTTATGGATACGCCTCTTTTTAGTATACCTAATCCTAGTGAATTTTTGAAATTAAAATCAGGACATGAGCCCGGTTAAAAACTCCAGTCTAACCCAACCCAAATCGAATGGAATAGTAATTCACATGGATCTAGGAAAAGCCTGGTATATTTGTGCACAAGCTAAAGTTTGAAAAAGTTTGTTTGTTTACGTACGAGAATACAAATACTGAATAATCTAGTCTCTCTCCCTCTGTGTTTGACATCTGAATTATAATTAAGCACTTTGATTACTAAATAGAGTACTACATGGTTCAGTTGATAAATATTTAGGTTGAGGGGTATGTCCTGTCTTATTGAGAATCATGAAACCATCCTGGAACTGCCATCTTCCTCTATAATGTAAATATGGAGGAATACATCTTTGTGTTTTCTGAATTTCTCATCCATTTATTGGTTTTCGACACTGCCACACATTTTTCCGACCTTATCAATTATTCAGTCAAAACTCTAGAATCCAGCTTTGCCCATATATCATTTCTCATTAAAATTTATCCATCACACAATGAAATTTTTGTGCCTAGTTATTACTTATTCGCATACCTCTATATAACCTCTTAGTATTCTCCGCCTTGTTGCAGACCCCCTCCTCGTCCGCCGGACTAATCCACGGCGGCTTAGCCGCTGCTGCAATGTCACCGGATTGATTTTTAGCCTTTGTCAATGGCTGTTGCAGTTACTGGTAGTTACTTCACCTCGGTAGGGATGTTTCCTTGTTGGGCTTGTTTCACAGCCTTGTCTCAGGATTGGGCTTGCTTTCTTCATCTTTGGGCCTAAGGCCTTTTCGTAAATATCAACAATATTGGTTATTAAATATTCAAACATTTCAATTTATGTTTCAACTTGGAGTCTGATTTATTTTTTGAAAGAAGCTCAAGTTTAGCACACAAAACAAGGGTAATATGACCAACCCTATTCCTTCTTTGTGGCCCTGTACCATCCCATAGTAAGGTGATTAAACTTAAGGTGGTACAAGTCGTAAATGCCTGCCTTTTCTAATCTTTGGCTACAAAATTTGCTTGTCTTTAAATTTTTGCTTTCCTTGAATACAACATATGGCAGGTTTTCCGGGAAGTCACATTGCAAAAAAAAAGATGAGCCTATCTACTTTTTAATGTAGTAAATTGTGTGGTTTGCCTTTGTGCCTTACAATTTGTTTACATGTATTCTTCACTTGAAAGCTGCGTGTTGGTTTCAGCATCATGAGCATTATTATTATTAACTAAAGTGCTGGCGTTTACAATTATTGAGCTGTTAGTCTCACTCCATCCATTGACACTGGACAGACATATTAGCAATTGAAATGCATGAGTTCTTGGTCTTTTTTTTTTTTTTTTTTCCCTATTCCCAACAATATTTTACAATTTATATGATTTACCCTAACCCTCGATAAGGTTGGTCATTATCTACTGATCCTATTTCTCCTGTTGCACTATCCTCCATCACCCACTGCCACAATCATTGTTTAACCACCACCCACAATCACCAACAGGCAGCAAACCACCATACACCCACCATTATTTCTCTTAATTTTCTTTCCTCCAACTCTCTCTCTCTCTCTCTCTCTCTCTCTCTATCAGTCAAAAAACTGCACAATCCTGATGTGTTAAATATTTATTGCCTGTATAACACAGCTTGTGTTTGTTTAATCATCTACCTCCACTGTTATCACAATGAACCGTTTAGTGCATGATATCATAATTAAGCATGGTACCTGCATCTTTTTATCAATCCTCGCAAAGGAGATAGTATCTGCTTATTAAATACAATGAAATAGTAAACTTGGATTACCATTAATTAGGAGTTGTGTCAGCAGACAACGTTGCCTCTGGTAGTGGTTTTCCTCCCAAAAAAGCATTGAAAAGAACGAGCGATCTCTCTGGTTGCGAAAATGGAGCTTCATGGGAAGCTCCTCTGATGGTGGCAAAAGATAAAATATCATTATAAACCTGTGTCCATCCTCCAACCTGTCTTCCCTCAAACCAAGACCTGTATGGCACAGTTGTGTTCAGCCCAATTTCCTTTGCAATTCCATTAACCAGCATCCGAGTTCCCGTGAGTGGAATAACTGAATCCTGATCTCCGCTATATGTAAAAAATTTCCATGGAATTACTAAAAGTTAATTTTTGAACATCAAAACAAAATTTTGCAAATATAAAGTTTATACCCAATAGCAAAAAGATTTATTAAAAAAATCACCTGTAAACCAGTACCCGGATGCCAGACTTAACGAGCGAGCCCAGGACATGAATTGTTGGTACCTCTAGGTCTTGCATATCATAACGCACGACTCTGTTGGCAAGAGAGTAAAAGCATTAAAAGCGTATGTAAATATATGTTTTCTTGATTTGGCTATGGAATCTGCTCAATTGGCATGTTTTGTGTTATATGCATATATAATACATATGTATGTGTATGGTTTTGTGCTGTGTTAGTCAAAAAATTAGAATATCATTGTCATGTTATTATGTTCCTAAATTCCCTCTTTTATTCTTTATTTGATTCTGTTTATTGAAAGGTCTTCTTTGTTTGGAACAAGAGTGAGAGTGAGAGTGATGAACATTACTCGCTACAAACTGTCCATTTGGTGACTCCAACAAGTCGTGCATGGAGTACTTTCTGTACATCTTCACGGTTCAAGTATTGAACTGTTTCATCCTCTATGCAGACATCTATCTTCTTTGTTTCTTGCTGTAAATGGAGATTAAAATGAGCAGATAGATGGATGAAGAATTAAATAAGGAGTAATAAAACAGGGTTACTGAAAAAGGAAGAAAATATAAGAAGTTAAAATGTGAGGCTCACTCACCAATTGATTTAAAACCTGAGATTGGGAAGCAATGGATGACAAACACACATCGAGACTGACATCATATGTGTTGATAAATCTACTGATCTCTCTTGAAACTTGTTTGATCACTCGAGAACAAACAGGGGTAAGAGAGCCAGTTTGGATTTGTCTTCTGATTTGAGAGTAGTTACACAAGGAAGTGAAGGCCTCATAAGTAGCATCTGATATCAAACCATGAGACCAAAAGAATTCAGCCCGCCCATTGAAATCGGTATTGAATTCCAGAAGTGGATTCCCTATCTGCAAATACCCACCCAAGTTGGTGCAGCATTTCATCATCTCAGTAAAAATATAAAATAAATAATGATTCATAACTAGAATGAATTAATTACTCCATCTATTTTATTTTATTTTATTTTTTTTTGGTAAAAGAAGCTTCTTCTACTACTCACAGCTATTCCCTTGAGGTTGAACTTCCACTTCACATTGGATTGAATAATGAGGTGTGCAAGCTGTGGAACATAGTGTCCTGTAGAGAAACAGAGCATTTTTTGTTGTTGCATTGAATTGAGCTACTTATCATTAGTGACCTCCCTCATTTAAATAAATAATACTCCCAAGTAGTATAACCCAAACGAGTTACTACTTAAGTAAGACATACATACCCCCATAACTCTCTCCTGTGATAAATAAATCTCTGTTCTTGTATTCTGGGAATTTTTCAAACCAACCCTCCAGGAAAGCAAGATTATCCTTAGCTAAAGAAAAATCAGAGAAATCAACTACTGTATTTTAGAAGATTACAAGAGATTTATTATAAGAGACTTGTTAATTAGCAATGATCAGATTCAAAAGAAAGTTGAGTATCTTATCTTCCTTCATAATAAAGAGTGAATGAATTATATATATATATATGTGTATATATATATATATATATATAGAGAGAGAGAGAGAGAGAGAGAGAGAGAGAGAGAGAGAAGAAATGAAATAAAAACCTGTCAGGTCATCATTCACTGAAGTGTAGAAGGATTTATTGGCAGAATAAGAAAAACCCACTCCTGCCGGTGACTCCAAATATAACATGTTTGCTTCTGTGGAAAAGAGAAAGTTACAAATTAGATTAGTTTTGTCTCCTTCACCTATACACAAAAATGGAGAAGGATAATTACTGTGCCTTTATTCCAGCTATATTCATTTTTGACCAAAACATTCCCACTGGGTTTAAAAGGGCCATGCTCACAGAAAGCTCCAGCTCCAACAGATGAACAACCAGGCCCTGCAAGTGAGAGATCTTACTCAAAGTGTGAGACACATACACACACGGTTGGGTGGTTGTAGAGATTCAAGAGTGAGTGATATAGGTAGGTACCTCCATTTAACCAGAGAACAAGAGGCTTTGAGGAGGGTAGGTTAGTTTCTGCTTCAACAAAGTAGTAGAAAAGAGCTTTATTCTGCTTTTCATCAATGGTTATGTATCCTGCAAATTGCTGGAAATTGACCTGTGGTTGACCTGGTAACCTCACCATTTTATGGGCTTCAAAGAGAGATTCTGATTCTGCTGTTAAAAATATTTGTGTTGCATAGATGGTAACCATGATCATCCATATCCATGCCAACTGATGAGATAACATTGTTTACACAGCCAAAGAAAAAAAAAAACAAGGTAAGAGGGTTTGAGCTATCTGAGTGAGTATGTGTACTGTCTTCTAAGTACTAGTATTCCACACAAACGGTGGCCATGGTGACAATTTTGGATTGGGTTAATTACATCTACAACCCTGACCTTTGATTATATTTCACTGACACCCTTAGATTTCAATATTCTACCGACTTCCCCGTTTATTTTACTAACAGAACTGTGTGATTTTACAATTTTACCCATCAACACGTGTCATCTCTCTCCCTTTAGTTTCTCTCACTCAGTCATCTCTCTCCCTTCTCTTTCCTGCGGCCCGCGCACCATCAAATCACCATCAAGCAAAGCAATCGGTGACAGAGATTCGTCAGGAGCGAAGGGATTGACGGAATCACGACGTCAGCCACGAATCGGGAGCAGAAGCAACCTCGGTCTCTGGTCGGAATCCGATTACGGATCCGACGATCCTTGCTCGCCGTGTTTTCTTCCTTTCTTGCCCATCGCCGGAATCGCGTACCACGCGTCTGCACGCGCCAAACGGTCTCTGTGTCAGACTGTATCGACAACCTGCAACTTCCGATCATTTCGCTTCTCTGCCATCATCAGTCCTTGTCGCCGACCACCAATCAACTCTGTCGTCGTCACGACCATCTCGCAGCTGTCCAAGTACAGAGAGGAGGGGAGATCCGGCGAGTAGCGCACGAAAGGAAGGGACATCCGGCGCTCCTTTACGGCCGGCCTCGACCCAGCACTGGTATGGTCTGGCCCGTATTGGCTGCAGCTACCCAACGGCCGCTTCTCCTGCAAACACCGGCGACTGCGCAATACCTCTTCGGTCTCACCGGTTGCACCCATCGGCCGTAAAAATTGGTGAAGAAGAAAGGAAAAATTGGCACGTTTACTCTCTCTTCTTTTCGTTTTTCAATTTTTTTTTTCCTACCGGTGAAGAAGCAATCCCACGGTCTCTGTCGCAGCCTGCTTTCCCTCTCCTCCGGCGAGATTGGAGTTGGTGAATTAGATTTGGGTTTTGCTAGGATTCGATATCAATTGAATACTCCTATGATTGATCAAAAGAAGGGGAAAAAAGTAATAACGAGAGGGGGAAGGGTTTTGCAGAGTAAGGGACTAGGGAGAAGGGATGTGCGCATGAAGAGAGAGAAAGGTTTGCGCAGATTTCTGTGAGATTTCTGGACGGCGGCGATGACAAGTGAGATTTCTGAGATTTTAAGGATGGTTTTGTAATTCTGTATTGATCAACGAGATTAAAAATGTTATTTTAGACATTAAAAAGGGTAAATTTGACCTCCTAACAAATTCCTCACACGCCGTTAGTTGCATGAAAGGTAAGGAAGCGTGCTTGGAATTAACCCTTTTGGATTTTAGTACTGGTGGGTATACTCACTCGTGAACTCTTTACTTTATAAAATAATAATAAATAAATGTAAATTTTGGACTGTTTGAGCTGAGGGACAACAACGATTTGAGATTGGGAAAAGCAAATAGTAGTATTTTTTTTTGCGGGTAAAGTACGTAGACACCCCCTGAGTTTTGGGGAAAGGCCATGTAAATGAAAATTCGTCAATTTTTGGACAATGACACCCCTTCAAGTTTAAAAAATGGACAAAAAGACCCTGAAGATGGTGAATTGACCTTATTATCCTTTGATATAAAATTTACATTTTAATTGCCTTAAATACCCTTGGATTAAACCCAAACCCAAACCCAAACCCATCTCAAATTCTAACCCAAACCCGACTGTGAAGAGAACCTCTCCCCCAGTGTAGAGAACCTCTCCCCTTTTCTCTCTGTATGTGTGTGTGTATGTATAGACACACACACTACATCTTCATCACCCCTCAGCCACCGCCGCCGCCTCCGCATCATCATCATTCTCAATTTCATTAACACTTGCACAGGCGAGGTCTACAATTAGCTACCCTTTGTATTAATTGTGAATTTGTGAGTATGCAGTGGATGATGTTGGTTCTCTTCTACTGCAACTTTGCTTTTGCTGTTTGGTACTTGTTCATTCAACTTCTTAATTGGTCATGGCATTTCTCAGATCTCAGTTGCAAGCTTGCTGATGTAACTGGTCATGCCTTACTTTGCTCAAAAACTTTACCAATTCACAGTCTCTTTGCTGATGTAAATATGCATCGTTTTCGGTATACGACCTTATCCATGGCTTCCTCAATCCAAACCCATTTCACACACTACAATATCATCAATTTACCAACCACCCAAATTCAATTTTCCAACAAATTTTTGACCTTTTTTTCATCAGCAACAATGCCACCAAAAACATAGAAGAACACCACAAAATACATATACACACATAGTTGTAAACACACACGCATAGATACATGTAGAGAGAGAAAGTAATCGAAGTAGAAGAACTAACTTCTCTGTTTTAGAGAGAGAAGCAAAACCCATCAGACATAGCTCTAGCAGGGGCACCTTTAAGAAATGGCTGGCGAGAATCAGTTTTTCGCTCTTGAACTGCTTAATGGCCCATGTCTTTGCTGCCTTAACCAGGCACCAGTTTTAAATCAAAATTGCAGGCTTTGAGCCAAAGAGTATTCAATCTAAGGTTTAGCAGCATCAATATCCTCAGTAAGAACGAAAAGATAAAGTATACATCTTAATTCTTTGAATTTTAGATATTTTCAACTGTAACAAAGCACCAAGAGGAGAGAAGAAAAACCCAGAATCAATATATATATATATATATATATATATATATACACACACGATTCAGAAAAGGGAAGAACTCGAGCTTTGGAGAGAGAAGCTCCAAATAGAAGTCAAACGCCGAACGGCGAGATCTCTGGTAGCGAAGCTGAGCTCAGCATCGGAATAAACTCGAACCGAAGCTTTCTGCGACCTTAGTCTCATCTCCAAACACGACCCCGAAAAGTCGATCTCTGATCGCTGACAAGGGCACAATACCCTACATCGCCGAAACCCTCTACTCTCTCTCTCCAATCTCCCAAGAAAATGCCACCGCCACCCTCTTCAACCCTCTCCATCTCCAGCGCCGAAGCCCTAATGTCCACCCGCGGTGCTTGTGTTGTTATATAATATATATATAAAAAGATGAAAAAGGGTAATTTGGTCGTTTAATTATTTTGATATTTTATAATTAAAATTAATAAAATAGTGAGGGGTAAAATTGATTTTTCACATATTTTAAGGCTCTGTTTGGCTTGCAAATTTCATAAGGGGGTGTTATTGTCTCAAAATTGAGTAATTTTCATTTGGATGTCCTTTAAACAAATCTCAGGGGGTGTCTCTGTACTTTACCTTTTTTTTGCCTACAGAAAATTCAAATTCTATTGAGTGATTGAAATTTTTGGAAACTGTGACCCGTCTATTGAGTGATTGAAATTTTTGGAAACTGTGACCCGGAAATAAAGGTGAGATTTGAATACGACTATACAGTCTAGCAAAAAAAAAAAAAAACTGATAAGAGTGAGGCGAGGCCTGCTTAGAAGGTGGGTTGGGACGGGCCCTATGGGCAGACCCACTCTTGTGAATTGGAATACTTTATTCTTTGTAAATTGAAGAGAAGTGAGAGAGAAAATGGATCTGATCTGATCTGATCTGCTGGTTACAGTTTCGCCGCCACGATTCCTACTCCGATCACCCACTCCTAACTGGTAAACTTTCTTACTGTCCTCCTTATTCCTACATATTCCTATATTTCCGTAGTTATCATCCAATTTTTCTATATATACTTTTCCTCTTTTAGTGTTAGCGTGTGTATAGAGTCAAATGTTTTCATTCTTTCTTCCAATTCTTTGCACAATCTTAAGGCTTCTTTTTTGTGGTTTGTGTAATGGAGACGCTGCTTTTTGCAATTCTGAAACTGTTTATTATTTCTTCATTTGTTTATTTTTCTAATTTCTGCAATTAAGGTTATTGTGTGCTCAATGGATGATTCATTGTTTATAACTACTACAGTTTGGAAGATATACTTCTTATTCAAAATTGGTTGCAAATTTGGGGAGCCTCAAATTTTGGCCCAACCTATATACTTATACTAGGCCTCAAAATTTGGCCCAAAATAAAGTTGATCCTACAGAAAAAAAAAAAAAAATGATGATACAGAAATAAAAAATGTTGGGCCCACAATAGAAATAAAACGTTTGGGTTTATGGGCCCAATTTTGTTCAGTTTGGGTCTTTTAGCCACTGATTTTCTTTACCCATTTTTATGATTTTCGAATCAAGAAAAAAAATGAAAAAACGATCTGTGTCATAAGGCTCCTGCCGGCTGTCGCTCCTCCAAGGCTTGAAGTTGAAGGATAAGATTTGGGTTTGTGTTTGTGTGTGTTTGCAAGATTAGCTTCAGTCTCATCAGGAGCAGCGCCGAAAAGATTACAAGTAAGTAACTCATCCAATGTATAGTACTGGGTTCCTTTTTGGCTTTTTCCAATCTGAAATTGATTTTTTTTTTTTTTTTTGTCTGTGTTTATGGAATCCTTTATCTCCTTTTGGATCTCAATTTGAATCTAATTTCATTGGTCTGGCTGATTATAGAATTTTGAAATTTTATGGGACGCTTGAAATAGGAGATTTTCCCCTTACCTTAGAGGCTTAGAACAGAAGAGGCAGGATAAATTGGATAATCAAGAATTCAATCTTCCGTACAGACTAAAACCTCCATTCTTTTTCTGATTATGAAGATCCCAGCCTTGCTAGGGTTGCTATTTATATAATTATATGTCCAAGTGTAAATGGTTGTGTGTTCCAAGTATATAGATATTATATATAGTACGATAAAATCATAAAAACAGTACTGATGAACAATAAGGAAAATTACAAAGGTTTTTTTTTTTTTTAATATCTGCGGTCAATTATTGCTTATGTGATAAAAAATAAAATAAAAACTAAAATATTAAAGAGAATCAGACTAAAACCTCCATTCTTTTTTCTGATTAGTTAGGTTAAGGAAAATATGAGAAGAATCAAACATTGTTGATTTTTTCAAACAATTATGAACCACTTTTTTTGCTTTGCATTGAGGTAATATCTATATTTTATTTCAGCAACCTGAATCAATTCATTGCATTGCATTGCATTGCATTGAGGTAATCTATATTTTATTTCAGCAAAACAAACATTTTTTTATTTGTATAACTTCTATTATTTATTTTTATTTTTTATTTTTTGGTCAGTTATATCTACAAGAAAATTTGAATCTGGGCATGAAAAAAAAAAAAAAAGAAAAAAAAAAAAGAAGAAGAAGAAGAGAGAAGAAGAATTGATTCAATCTAAAAAAAGCCTCATTCGTAAGTTTTTAGGAACAATACACAAATAGAGAGTCTAGTTGAAGATTTGGTGAATGGAGAACATTGGAATGGAGAAAATCTTAATGAACATGGAGATTTAATGAATGAAGATAGGAATGAGAATCAAAATGAAGAAAATGTGAATGAACTTGAAGATTTGGTAATGAAGAACATGTGAATGAGAATGATAATCTTCCCTTGAATATTATTGAACCAGCAAATTGGAGAAAGATTGATAAAAAATTGGGAGATTTATTAGTTGAAAGAGGTCCTCCAAGAGATGATAAACTTAAAGCTTTTCAAAGTTGAAGTTAATCAAATCGTACTTGCGTTCTACGATGACACAAAAGAGATTGAATGAATTGGCTATCTTATCTATTGAAAAAAATATATTGGAGAAACTTGATTGGAGCACTTTAATTAATAATTTTGCAACTCTAATGCTTTGTTCGGTAGGAAGGAAGGAAGAGGTGTGGAGAGAAAATAGGGAGGAAGAAATAAACTTTCATTGTTCGGTAGGAATGATACAAGGAAAGAAAGGAAAATAGGAAAGATGACCCATCCTTCCTCCTTTACAAATTTTTATCCCCCAAAAATGAGCGGAAGAAAGGAGGGAAGACAATTGAACTGTTATAGAAATTTTAAATTAAATACTATCCAAAATTATACAAGTCTTAAATTACCGTACTATCCTCTATAAATTACAATAATATAAATATTATTGGATATTATGGTAAAAACAATTAAAACTTTCTCCTTCCTTCTCTCTTAACGAATATGGGAAATTTTAAGTTTATTCTCTTCTCTTCTATCCAACCGAACAAAAAAAAGGAAATACACCAGCTCTTCCCTGGGGATGTTTCATCCATCCTTTCTTCTCTCCTTTCCTTCTAATTTTTTTCTTCCCTACCGAACATAGCATAAATGCAAAACGATCACATTTACTTTAATGAAAATTTCGCACTTTTATAATTTTTGTTTTTTGCGCGTGCGAAACATTATGTATAAAGGGCCTCACATTTAAAGTTCCCCTAGGGCCTCTCAAGATTTTTTCAATCTCAGGAAGTTAGGGTTTCCTTTGAAGAATCCTAAACCACCAATACAGATACATGAGAGAAAGCTTCGGTGCCTTTTAAGATTGTCCTTTCTTCTTGAGAAACCTTTCTTTGTAAACTCGACTGTTCAGTGTAGCCCTTTGGTGCTTAACTTTCAGAAAATACAATTAGGTCTTTTTGTTTCGGGTAACATTACGTTGAACTTTAAATCACAAAACAAGGGAGAATGAAAGAGTTTCATGGTGAAAAATGATAAGAGATAGACCGTCACATCACAACCTGCAATTATATTATCACCACAACCACTTAAATCCATCTGAAAGATGAATTGAAGTTTCTGACAGTATTTTTTTTCTGTTCACAGTCTCATATATGTTATCATAGAACTGAAAATTTGAAAGTCTAATCACTGTGTGTCTTGTAATGCCGCCAATTAGTGACGATTTCATCTCCTTAGTCTAGAAACCTTAGCTTCTTCTGCTCAACTCCAAATTGGGGCTTTGCGGAGCTTGGTAGACACAATGTATGGGTGAGGTAACCTACAGATCTTTTCATTCTGCTGCTCATCTATAATGTTTTCTGCTGGTCATCTTTAATGTTTGGATGTGTGCATTATATTCTCCAGAAGCAATTTGTGTTACAAATGTGTCTCATCATGAATGTTTGGAATCTATAATTTGATTATGATCAATAGAACACTTGCAAAGTCCATCAGCTCAATAAAAGTGGCTTTACATGTGAAGCACAATTTCTTCACTGGCTTTACTAAATCTAAACGGTGAAGAAGCTCGATGAGTGCAGGTTGCGCTACCTTATTTTTTTTTAGAAATTTATGACAGATGACGACGTGATCCTACATGATTATTTAAGGCAATTGTATCCTCATGCCAGAATTCTTTAACATAGGAGATAATTCCTAATTATGGCTCATACTTGCTTTGATGCCACTTTTTAAACACCTGAGATCACAGACCAAAGAAGAATTGACCTCCATCTTTTTAACAAAAGCTATCCCTGCAAGGTACGTTTATATATATTTAGATCTTTCTTACTCTATACAAACAACTTTCTTTCCCTCTATCTGCGCATCTATATATTGAGGTCAGTTTTCAGATCTAGTGCTATAGAACTGTGATTTTATATGAAATAAATTTTATTTTCTCTGCTGGACTGAGGTTCATTGTAGATTTATCTTTGTTTGAATAATGCACAAAACATATGTAGTGTAGATATCTTCTCCCTTAATCAAACATTTACTCTCTCTCTCTCTCTCTCTCTCTCACTCTAAACTTGATCTTCTTTTGTGTGGTTCGTTTCAATTCTTTCACATGGTCAGTTTTGTCTAATTTTGATTCCATTTTGGGAATTGATCAGGATTTGTTCGGTTCTAGTTTGAACAGTAACTTGAACCAACCCAAACCACGAGTACCTCTAGTTGAATAGATCTCAACAACATATTATGTGTTTTGTGTCTTATATTTGGCTAGAATGATGTAGATAATCAGGTGCCTAACATTTATCCATAACTTCGCATAACATTAATACCTCATGTCGTGTAAAAATATCCGCAGCCTTTGACATTTAAAGCATTGCTGTTTTATTATGCCCTGGATTTCTTGAAATTTAAAGGTGTGATGTGTACCCTAATTGTTTGAATTTTGTCAGGTTTCTTCTTGTAAGGTTTGTCACTTGAACATTTTTTTAATTTTTTTTCAGAAAGAAGTTCGTTCGTTTTTGGACTCTTTATGGACCCAGAAGCTGCACGGACTGCTAGAGAATCTCTGGACCTGGCATTTCACATGTCAAACATTCTTGATACAGGGCTTGATCGTCACACCCTCTCTGTTCTCATTGCTCTATGTGATTTGGGTCTGAACCCGGAGGCACTGGCTGCTGTGGTGAAGGAGCTTCGAAGGGAGACCTCTTCCTCCTCCCAAATGCCAAAAGCTCCATCATCTTTTGCCTAGACAGGTTTATGTTATCTTCTGCTACCAATTAACGTTGAAAAAAAAACACTCAGAATGTTGTTTTTAACAGCCTCCATTACATGTGCAAGGTTCAACTTCTATATGTAATGATTGTCATCAGCATTATGTCAATGCTATCGTATGTTCTTTTTCTTTTTCAATTGATTTAAAGTTAGGAGAATATTCAATTATTTAAATGAGGATATTCAATCATTCTCTTTTACAAATGGATAGTCTCTTTTAAAATATTTAGATGGAATCCCTTTTTCTTTTTCCAGGAGATCTCCACTCAACTTTGGAAGATGTTTTGAAAACGTTATGCTTTCAGCTTTTTATATGATCTTTTTTTACTCCAAAGAATAAATTTTCCAACAAGTTATGCAACATTTTGATGTAATTCTTTTTTATTGCTTTGCTTCATAAATTTAGCATATTTATCGTTCCTAAATTGACTTCTATATTTCCTAAATTGAATTTATCTTCTTCTTTAGTGGGTTTAGATATATATATTTAGGTTGGAAAAGCCCGTTGAAGATTCAAATTCTTAGGGGCCATATCCGCTGACATAGTTCTAGTTTTATTCGATTTGTGTGGGGTGATTTTGCGAATTATTCCGGACAAAGTCCGGGATACTCCGATTTAAAAAAAAAAAAATCGTTGAAGGGAAATGCAATTGCTACAAGTGTTGTAATTTCTTCCATTGTATACTCCATAATGAGATAAATTTTGCCAATTAGGTGAGGAGCTACCATGCAAAGTGGGAAAATTAAAAGGGAGAGTGATTACTAAAATTGTTGATATTAGGGTTGGTTACAACAAAATTTTAATGACTTTTGTGTTTTGAGTTGCAATTATCACTCTAGCTTGTATTAATTTGAATTGGGGATAGAATAGTGTAATTACTAATTAGAGACTTTTGAATACTAGAATAAAAGGATTTATATTATAACTAGTTTAAAATGAATGCGTTTCATAACCCAGACACATCAATATAACGGCAAACCCAAGCGTACCGTGTTATTATATTCTAATGTTGCTCAAATTCTCATAACAAGCTGTTAACAATATCATTAATATTATTAATTTAAACAATACAAAAATTCGTTAACTTTATTCGTTATTTTTGTAAAAGAAAATAACATTTCTTTGTTTTTGGTTTTTTGTGGGAAGGTTAAGCAAACACACTCTTTGCCTAAGCTTGAACACTAGATCTAGAAGGCTTCTATTAGTTGGTGTCACGTCTCGCCTAGTTGTAGGAGGTTACGTCATGCAGGCAACATGCGAGCGCTCAGAAGCAGGGGTGGAGCCAGCATAGGCCCAGGGTGGGCCCATGCTGGCCCATTAGTTTTAATTACAAAATGGCCTATAATTTATAAAAGTTTTCACAATGCCCCCCCTGAAATATTTATTTTAAGAAAATGGCCATTAATTTTTATTACACATAGGCCAATAATTTATAAAAAATTGAAAAATGCCCCCTGAAATAATTATTTACCCTTGGGCAAATTATTTTTTATTGCAAATAGGCCTATAATTTATAAAATTTGACAAAAATGCCCACTAAAATAATTATTTTTAAAAAATATCTTTAATTTTTCCTTTGTTTTCATTCTTACTCCTCCTCCTCCTCCTCCTCTTCTTCTTCTTCTTCTTTATATTCTCTTTAAAAAAAAAGTTGCATTCCTTTATTCAAACTATTTTTTTTTTCTCTTCAAAGTTTGGTAATTAAATTTGTTGCCTTAAGGTCAGTATTTTTATGTTCCTATTTTTTTAAAATAATTATTTTTCAAATTATTAAATGCTATTATTCCACCATTAGTACAGTTTTATTTTTTGATTTATTGTCTTGTATCACTTTTCGCTTGAAAAAAATATAATTTATCATCTTTAATATGGTGTCCCCCTGAAACAAATTCCTAGCTCCGCCCCTGCTCAGAAGACATCTGCATGGCATTAGAAGAGTGCAGATGTAGAATCTTTTGGAATTTCGTAGAGAGTTTCGGAGTATTGTAGAGAGTGTTGGAAGGTTAAGCAAACACACTCTTTGCCTCGGCTCGAACACCCGACCTAGAAGGCTTGTATTAGTTGGTGTTACGCCTCGCCTAGTTGCAGGAGGTTACGCCACGCAGGAGATACGTGAGTGCAAAGGATACATGTTCTAGAACCTTTCGGAATTTTGTAGAGAGTTATTGAGTATTGTAGAGAGTGGAGGAAGGTTATAGAATATTGGAGAGATTGTCTATTCTTGTGAGTAAATATCTCTAATGTCAGTAGGAAGCCTATAAATTGGTGGTGGAGTCATTTGTAAGCAACAAGCTCTGCTGGAGTGGGAGAGCCTTATACAATACTTCAGCTCTTGCCAATAACGGCCTAAGTGTGTCTGAATGGGCAGGCGACTGAAGGGGGTGAGGTACGAGTGAGGCATTACAACACGAGCAATTCTTTCCCCTTCTCAATTGCGCTCATATTCATCACTGTAGGAATTGGGTTCAAGTTTTTCCTAACTCCTTCTCATCAATGGACTCCTGACGTATACGCAAGAGTGCGGTTCGTTTAATAAATTTCTCTCTCTCTATCTATCTCTTAGATATTTTTATTTTTCAAAACTCCATAGACATGTAAAAGAGAAATAATATCCCTATTCGAACCAAGATAGACATGAGTGGAGTGCATGTGCAAGCAAAGTACACTACAACACAAGTAGGAGACATAACTGGAGCTTGCTAGCCCAAGCGAGTGTAGCTGGGGTGATAGAGAAACTTTAGGCTAGTGAAATTGGGCTATTGGTAATAATATTTCTTTGTTCTTTCAAGACTTCATCAGTTTTAAGTTTGTAACATGTAAAAAAGTGGGAGTTTTACTTCTTATAGTTTGCATACTGTCACGGGCCTAGAGATTTGGCGCAGCGGCACGGCCCGTGCGGCACCAAGGCGTTGCTTCAGCTCGCGCAAGCGCCCTGGTCAGCCACCACGACCTGCCCTCCCAAGGATACATGCTGACTGGTTTCGGCCTGCCATGGCCTCGTCAGGGGAACGGCTCCAGCTCCCGACCAGTTTGTGCAGGGATGGCCAACTCCCTTCTTCATAGTCAAGTCCACGACCAGCGACAAGCACCTCGAACTGAACCGAGTCGACCTACCTGAACTCTGAAGAGGTACCATCCTGTGGTCCTGCACGCCCCTTCCCTGGAACCCTTCCCAGTCAATGAATGTTCTTAGCCAACCAGCATGCGTGTCTTCTATGCTCATGGCGTCGTTAGGAATCGGATCGTGACATTCTCCCCTACCCAAATCCTGTGACACCCTCGTCGCAGTGCGGCGCTGACTCCGCTGCGTCCAACATTCCAAAGTCTCCCTCCTCCAAGTGGTATGCTCGCCTGCCCACCATCGCTTCCTTATACAACCCCTGGCTGCACTCGCCCAATGATAGGGTTTCGGGCTAAAGGGACGCCCACTTCTTCGGGACGCAACCCCACGTTATGCCGCCTCCGCGACACCCCGAGCAAACAAGGGCCCTCCGGCTGACTTGATACCCGCCCTTCACAACAGTTTGCACGCCTCTTGAACTTGCAAGAACTTTGGTGCGCGCGGCCCTCCGGCTTCAAAGGATGCGTCTTCATGGGGAGATGAAGGCTCTCCTCCAACAGCATTGATTACCCACCGACGCTTTAATGCACCCACTTCATTCTCAAGACCCCCGGATCGACAAGGGGGCACACCTCTGTGCTTTTCCCCAAGTCCTGCTCTGATACCATTTGTCACAGGCCTAGAGATTTGGCACAGCGGCACGGCCCGTGTGGCACCAAGGCGTTGTTTCAGCTCGCGCAAGCGCCCTGGTCAGCCACCACGACCTGCCCTCCCAAGGGTACATGCTGACTGGTTTCGGCCTGCCATGGCCTCGTCAGGGGAACGGCTCCAGCTTCCGACCAGTTTGTGCAGGGATGGCTAACTCCCTTCTTCATAGTCAAGTCCACGACCAGCGACAAGCACCTCAAATTGAACCGAGTCGACCTGCCTGAACTCTGAAGAGGTACCATCCTGTGGTCCTGCACGCCCCTTCCCTGGAACCATTCCCAGTCAATGAATGTTCTTAGCCAACCAGCATGCGTGTCCTCTATGCTCATGGCGTCGTTAGGAATCGGATCGTGACATTTGTCACGGGCCTAGAGATTTGGCGCAGCGGCACGGCCCGTGCGGCACCAAGGCGTTGCTTCAGCTCGCGCAAGCGCCCTGGTCAGCCACCACGACCTGCCCTCCCAAGGATACATGCTGACTGGTTTCGGCCTGCCATGGCCTCGTCAGGGGAACGGCTCCAGCTCTCGACCAGTTTGTGCAGGGATGGCCAACTCCCTTCTTCATAGTCAAGTCCACGACCAGCAAGCACCTCGAACTGAACCGAGTCGACCTGCCTGAACTCTAAAGAGGTACCATCCTGTGGTCCTGCACGCCCCTTCCTTGGAACCATTCCCAGTCAATGAATGTTCTTAGCCAACCAGCATGCGTGTCCTCTATGCTCATGGCGTCGTTAGGAATCGGATCGTGACATTCTCCCCCACCCAAATCCTGCGACGCCCTCGTCGCAGTGCGGCGCTGACTCCGCTGCGTCCAACATTCCAAAGTCTCTTTCCTCCAAGTGGTATGCTCGCCTGCCCACCATCGCTTCCTTGTACAACCCCTGGCTGCACTCGCCCAATGATAGGGTTTCGGGCTAAAGGGACGCCCACTTTTTCGGGACGCAACCCCACGTTATGCCGCCTCCGCGACACCCCGAGCAAACAAGCGCCCTCTGGCTGACTTGATACCCGCCCTTCACAACGGTTTGCACGCCTCTTGAACTTGCAAGAACTTTGGTGCGCGCGGCCCTCTGGCCTAAAGGACGCATCTTCATGGGGAGATGGAGGCTCTCCTCCAACAGTATTGATTGCCCACCGACGCTTTTTTAGTGCACCGTCTTCATTCTCAAGACCCCCGGATTGACAAAGGGGCACACATCTGGCTTTTCCCCAAGTCCTGCTCTGATACCATTTGTCACGGGCCTAGAGATTTGGCGCAGCGGCACGGCCCGTGCGGCACCAAGGCGTTGCTTCAGCTCGCGCAAGCACCCTGGTCAGCCACCACGACCTGCCCTCCCAAGGATACATGCTGACTGATTTCGACCTGCCA